GATTGCTGACATCTTCACAAAGGGACTTCCGTTGCAACTCTTTGATGACTTTCGTGATAGTCTCAACATTCGTTCACCTCCAGTTTCGACTACGGGGGTGTATTAGATATGTAAATATAGAAAGATTATTATTAGTATTGATTACCAATGATTATTAGAATCATAACTACATATCTGTACTATGTATATAAATGACTATCACATGAATGAAAAGGCACGGCCTAAATTATCTTACAAAAAGACACAATTTTGTATTATGTATCCGGTTTCTTAAATCAGTTAAATAGCCAACTGATTTAAAAAGTGTAGAACGATTTTCAAATTTCATACAGAACTAGTTTCTTAAATCGATTCAGCTACCTTACTTAAAAAGTGAAAATTCAACGTTTTAAAATTTCTGGCATAATGGGTATGTAATCGGTTACACCAAAAGTGTAACTGATTATGACCCTATAAAAAAAATTAAAAATATATTTACATAGGCTTAAATTGAGTGGTTTTGATGCATGAATGCTTAGGAAAATTAGAGATGAAAAGATGAAGATTTTCTGAGCATCTAAGGATATACATAATATAAATTGTATTTGAATATCTTTTCTTTATGATCGATCTCTTTTAATTCAACAACAAATGACTTTTGTAATCTTGAAATTTGATTGAGCTAGAATTTAACTTTTTTATTCTTTGATAAGCTTTTGTCTTCATTAAAGCTAAACCAAGATAGATGATGAATATCTTCTTCACAATATTTCACTTTTTTTATGATGAAAAAATTTATTGATGGAAAGTTTTTGTTTGTCACGTGATGCTCCCCTTATCTTATATATCTCCTCTTTTATTTTGCAATTCATGTTTTGTCTCTGGTAACCTGAAAATTAATAAAATTAACCATACTTCTCCCATTTTTTGACATTATCTAAAAGAAAAAGAGTAAAGTCTAAAAAAAAGTAATATAGAGAAATATATATCATATATTAAAGTACTTATCTTCTTCACAATGATTTAATATCAATGTTTATATCAATATTTATGCTCTTCTAAAGTGATTTTGTTAATATCAATGATATGTTATTTGAAAGGGTAAATCTTTTCAAATCATCTTCAATAAAATGAAAATTTAATCTTACCATATCATATGATCTTATTGCATCTCGAACAACCAATCTTAATTTAATAATTTTAGCAATGATTTTCAAGTACCTACAAGAAACAATCAATAATACTTTTTAGGTACTCAATATTTTTTGGGTCCTCTTGGTTTAGTTTCTTTTCTTACGTACACACATCCACTATTAGGAATACCGAAGTTTATTATGTAGCAAGCATTAGGAATATGGTCTTTTGTATTGCAATAAAAATATGTAAGTTTAAAGAATTTATTATCTTTAGAGACATAATAATTAATTTTACAAGTTGCAATTACTTTGATTCCTCATTGTTGAATTTATTGTTAGCCTTAATAAAGATAGTTTGACTTGTATTTGATTTATAAAATTTAGAGTATCCAAGTCCATATTTATCATTAGAGTATCTTTGTTTTTTAGCACGTTTCTTTAACCAAGTTGTCGTTTCTCATATTTTCTTAAGACTTGGTTCAATTCAACTATTTTTATTCAAGAGTTTCACATCTATTACATGCTAAATTTTTTAATTAGTCTAGTTCACTTTCATGTCATTAGCCTTACTTTCTCGAGATAAAATTATTTCTTTTGTTTTGAACATGTTCTAGAAAGGCATTATGCAATTCATCATAAGATGGTTCAAGATCACTAACCTTATTTTCTCCATCGTCGGAATGATGTGAAGTTATTAATGTAATGTTTTCTTGTTCTTCATCTGAAGATCAACATACATCATTGTCTTGCCATGTCACATATGCTCTTTTTGATTTCCTATGCTTCTTATTTTTGACTTTGATCTTCTTTTGAATAGTATGGAACTCACTTTTGACATGACCTCTTCTTCCACATTCAAAACTAGTAGCTTTCTTTCTTGAAGTTGATGATTCTCTTTGACTAATTTCATTTTTATTTTCCTTTCTTAAGTATTTTTCAAATGTCTTGATTAGTGCACCATATTCAACATCTTTGAATTGAGATTCTTCTTCTTGATCACTGTCATATTCATACTTCAAAACAAGGGGTCTAACTTTAACTTCACGTTCTTCATGCTTCTCCAATTTATCATGATCCAATTCATTTTTTTCCAATCGATCAAGTTCTCTTTCATGTTCTTGAAGTTTTCCAAATAATACGGTCAATGAAATTTTAGAAAGACTCTTTTTTTTTTTAATATTGACATTGTCGTAATCGGCAAAAAATACGAGAATCGTCACCAGTTTTTTCGTTCTCTCTTTCTTTACGCATGAGATTTTTGTATGAATTTAGGGATGCTTGTGTTTAGAAAATTGAGAAAAGAGAGGCTTTAGAAAATAAAGTGAACTTAATTTCTTTCTAAAAATTGGAAAGGGAATAGCGGAAGAAGAGACCGCATACTGCATCTGTTTTTCCTTTATGTTTCATTCTATTGTTTTTTATTTATTTCCTAAATGTATGTGCCACGTGTCGAAGTCTTACTGGACCTTAAAAATTAGAGAAAAGTCAACATAAATATGTAAATTAGGAGACGCCATTTTTACTGATTAGATAGCATTATCATTATTAATTATTTTAGGTTAGACAAATTAATTTCTATCGGGCCTTGGGCCATTCTTATAACTTTTACTATTTTATTAAGTTTACACCTCAACCTGCATTTTGGGTCCAGTTCAATATCGAAACTTGAGTCCTTTTACGTTTAGTATCCTCTGATTTATGCTTTACACCCTTAGTTTTATTTGATTTATTTTTAATTTGATTTATTTAATTAGGTTAATATAATTTAGCTAAATAATTTGAATTATTTAAATATATAAAAATACAAAAAATATGCTTTTAGTTTTTTATAGAATAAATCAATCACTTTTTTTAAAACTAAATTAATTTAATATTTTATAAATATATTAAAATCTACGCAACTCACTAAATTCACCATCCACGAACGACACGTGACTAAAATCTGGTCACGTGATGAAGAGACTTAAGGAGAATTATTATCAAAATTAACTGCGAACTGCGTCTACGATCACTCAACTTACAACTCAGACAAGATTAAAGGATAGTTCAAAATTAATTCTACGCAATCCTATAAAAAACACCAACCCACTCTGAACCACGAATTGAGACTCTGATTCCTCATAAGAGGATACGTAGGCATACGACTAAAATCGTGGCGAGTTCCCCTAATAAAAAATTAAAACCCTATTTCTTAAAGATCATGCTTCTAACCCTAGTATCATTGTGAACAACGTAGATGAGGGGTGCCCAACACCTTCTATTCATCTAAAACAGAGTCAACAACCTAGAATCTCTAACTTTTTTAGGATTAACTTTTATATTCCCTTCCTTATGATAAACATTAAGGGTGACGACTCTTATTTTAAAACCGGTTACAACAATTGTTGTTCTTCGATGTGAAGAACAACAACTTTGGGAGGACAATTTTAGTAAATTGTGGATGATTGTTGATGATCTAAAGTGTAAAAACTGGCTCAATTTATGGATGGATTCTAGGGTTTGCATTTAAGTTTGATCCATCTATTTTAGGAAAGACTTTTAGAGATTGAGACTTGATTGAAATTTGAAGGACAAGACTTTGAATCTAGACACTTTTGTGACTTTTTCCAATATTGTGATTGATTTGTGATTGACAATAATTTGATTTTGATAGATTTTATTTATTTTTTACATCTTGACTATTAAGTACATAAAATCAATGATTTTAAAAAAACAAAAAAACAATTTTAAAATACACCTAAAATGAAAAACGAAAATAATAATAAAATAAAATAAAATAATTTTTTTATCCTTTTTTATTGAAAATCTCACCAAAAAAAAAATAAATACCAAAAGTAGGACAATGTAACTTGAACTCGACTTTATACTTAAACCCCTTATACATGTATGCTTACCAATTGTACTATCTATTCAATATAATAAATCAAGACGAATACTTTAACAAATTTCCCACTTGATATTCTCCGCGTACATTGTTCTATTTATAATTCTATTATAAAGGAAACTTTCTTATAATATCTTATTATTATTTTGATATTATTTTATAATTTCTCTCATTAATATTTACACATAGATTATGTTGTGTGTCATGCTTACACGGAGAAATTATTATTGAGCTTTGATGGAATACAAATCATCGACAACCATATTATAACCTTTGGACGTCCCCTTTTACTCTTCCCCCAACTTTCCTATAGAACCTTTGAACGCTTCACATTCCTAACTCAGTTTCTCAAACACAACACCACAGGAATCCAAAACTCTTTTTATTCATCTTCTTCGTTCACTCTTTACATTGATCCCAAACCAAACCCTAATCCTACTCCATTTCCACTGTCTGATCTTCCCAAATCCACACCTCCCCACCCATAACCTTCGATTTCTGGGATGATGATGAATTCGAAGGTTTTATGACCGAACAACACCTTAACAATCTCATTGCAAGGATTTACATGTTCAATCTGCAAGGTTTTTCGTTTTCCCCTTTATTGTGTTCTTCAGTAATCTTATGTCATCGAATCAACCATTTTTCGTTTTGATTGAATGAGAAATTGTTGTTCTTCGATTCGATGATTGAATCAACCGATAATCTTATACCTATTGCTTTATTTTTTCTTTTAACCTTCGTTTTTTCGTTTTTCGTTTTGATTAAATCAACCGTTAATCTTATGCCTATCGCTTTATTTTTTCTTTTAACCTTCGTTTTTCGTTTTGATTGAATCAACCGTTAATCTTATGCCTATCGCTTTTTTGTTTTCTCTTATAACGCAGTATATTCGTATAGATCATTTCCTTCAATTCAATGCATATGATATTGCTTAGAAGAAGGCGAGAAATTGTACCAGACATTGCTTTCCATGAATCCAGGCAAGTGTTATTCACGCGTCAAGCGTTGGCGGTGCTCGTTGACGAAGATATCGAAGAAACAACCAGTTCTTGAAGACATTGAACTTTCCTCAACGATGTAGCCCTTGGCAACGTAAGTCTTATCCATTTCATTTCTTCATAATCATTAATCATATTTTCTAATTCATCATATTGTGATTTGAATTTCAACTTCAATTTGGATTTCAATTTCGTAACGTGCGGTAAATCTGCGGTTCTGAACAATTTAATGGACATCCAGTTTTGGTAAATTAGGTTTTTGAAACTGTATAATCTCAGTTATGTCGATGAAATGAAATTTAAAGTGAAAGTGACAGTTAATGTTTATTTTCTTCAGCCTAATGGTGAGAATGGAGCTACCAGAGCTTCAATTTGCATTGGTCTGCAACGAGGACACTTCTATGAGTAACAAATCTATTATATTGCAGATTGAAAATAAATCTCAGCAAGTTAGTTAAATCTTTTCCAATTCACATAGATCAAAGTGGCTAATCTATGAATTTTTGCTATTTTGTCTGGATTGATTAATTGCATATGTATTCATATGCTTTGTTTTATTTTCTGCAGGTGCTTTAAGACATTCTTTGCAAGATAGGTTGTTTTATTTTTGTTGTCGGGTAGATGAAATGGACCAAGAGTTAGTTTCTTTGAACATAATTTTGTGGATCTAGCTGGAAGTAAGCGTGCTTCTCAGGCATATAATTTTTTGGTTCTTCGAATACTGATTCCTTTTCATTGAGGACTGAATCATGAATTGTATATGATGAAATACTATTAATGTTTCATGGCCTCTGCCCTGCAATATTGCAAGCTAATTTTTGTCGAATTCGTGTGACAGGTAAACAAAAGATGCTTATTTCTTCTTGATTTTGAGCAACATGACAAGTGTGTGTTAGTCGGTGTTACACTAAGTAAGCATCCTTTTGGGGGTCAAGATGTAGATGTTTCATTTCTGACTGAACACTGACGGAAAGTGTATCACCCTCAACCGCATTAGCGTAACTTAACCCTTCCTACTGGTAAGTAATAATCAAACATTTGATATTTTCATTGATATTTGTTTATGAATTTATGAGAATTTGATGCTTCAAGGATGAGAGATTCTCGAAGAAGGAGAAGTATGAGTGGTTCAAGGATTATTCCCATTTCCGTCACATTATTCATCCCCATCTAACGCCTAATTCATCTGTTCTGGAGCTTGGATGTGGAAACTCACAAATGTGCGATGGTTTGTATAAGGATGGAACGACCAATATAACTTGCATTGACCTTTCACATGTTGTAGTCAATAGTATACAAAGCCGTTTACTTTTTCAGGGTTTCAAATGTTCAATTTAGCTTCCGTATATTTCCTTTGGTTTTTCAATTCATTCAATAAGATAAGATCAAATCAAATCTAAGTAGCCCTTAACATGCAGTCAAGCAGAGTTAAATTCTCTTGATGGAGAACTTTTAGCCAGGTTTGAAGAATTAACTGTTAGTCGTTGTGTGTTATGTTAGGTCCCACCTCTATTCTAATATGCTTAAATTTCATGCCAGCCACATTTCAAGCGCCCTATATGTAATGCGGCCGATTTCACCTTGTCTCTTGAGTGGACTACTTTTGGTGAATCCTTTCATTATTTTGTCTATGTTCTGAAGAAGGTTAGTCATCCATATATAGCCTTATTTTTCATTTTTTACTGTTCTGTATCTCTGTTTTAACTATGATAGATGGACAATTTTCATCATATGAAGATATACAACCTGTTAAGAGATTTGAAGTGTCGTCTTTTAATCTATTCCATGAGGAGATAGAAAGTGAATATTTTTCTTTTCTAATCAATGTTGATGAGTTGAACAATTGGATAGTATTGTATGAAATTTTGTTACCAATTATAAATACTATTCCTTGCTGTGCTATTTTGTTCCATTTACTCTGAAGTAGGAACTATTGTCTTACAAGATTAATGTTAGGCATTCTGATGTACAAGAGTAAAGTAAATGAAAAATATTGTTGACTCTCTAAGTAATTACCGTGAAGATTTTGTTGCTGCAGTAGCAACTTTTCTTCAAGTTCCATACATTATTCTCAAAGAGTTGTGTATTTAAGTATGTGGATAAGGACATAATGCTATCACCGGCTTAATCTTCTGGAACAAGTAATTATAATTTTCAGTTTCAGAGTATGACTAACAAAGTATAGGATATGCATATACTTTAATCACAGGAAAAATCAGCTGGTTTTTAACAATTTTTATATGTGCTCAAACAATTCAGTCTCATTTGATGCTAAACGTGAATAAGGAATTTCTCACCCAAAAGAGTTCTCTTCATCGAGACTTCTTTAATGTTAGGAAAGATAATACTCATGTCCACCTCTCAGCATGCATGAACTAGAAGTATCTTTTAAGGGTTATAAATTCTAAGTTGAGGCATGAACCTGGCGAGGTAATAATTTCGATCTGTTTATTGTTGTATGCCTATATTATCTTAGCTTGGTTGTACATCAAGATTCCTGTTCTGGACTGGGCCCATCCTGGCCCAAGAGCAAGAACGAAGGCCCAATCCAAGCAACTCTACAAGAGGTGCGCGCCTGATGATTCTCGCCAGCGCGTCGACCAGAAGCTACGGCCGTGCCCGCCGTGCCCGCGAACACGACGTCGTCGACCCCATGAAATCCAGCTCGAGCCCAGCTCGAGCACCCTCCTCGTAGGGCAGACTATGACCGTTACTCCATCACCTGAATTCCAGAAAGATTGCGTCCTCGTCCCTCCGTACTTCTCGCAGAGCATCACCAGGAGGGGGGACCACGTGCGGGTCCCCACTACACACGTAGAACCTGTCAGTTCCTTTATTGGATCAGTCTTGGTCGATCCAATGAAGGGACCTTGGCCTCGCGCTGGGGGCTATAAATATCCTTTATTCCTAGAGGGTCAGGTATTCATTCTCTTACCCATACACACACTTTTGCCTGCTCGTACTACCACTCACTTTAGCATCGGAGTGCCTTGCAGGTACTCCCCCCATCTCGTTTAACTTTTGCTCGGAACCAGTCGTGACGGTCCAAGTCTGATCAGGTAAGATCAGTGGCGCCGTCTGTGGGAACCTAGCTTTCCCGTCTTGCAAAAACTCAAAGACTAAAGCTCAACTCAACTATCACCGTCATGGCTGACCAAGTTCGTGATGAACAAAACATCCGCGTCGTCGACACCAACAACGGCCTCGCGGATAAAAATGGACACCCTGATAACGTCGGTAACCACGGTCATAACACCATCCCTGTGTCGACTGCCCCCGGGCCCTCAATCCACCGCGACGGAGTTACTACATCGTCTTCCTCGGTCCCTCCGCTGCTCGAAGAAGACAATGCAGCTCCCACAAACTATCGAGCTGCTCAGTTTCAGGAAGTCCCTGTCCCCGTCGGGGAAGATGCCACAACCTGCGCGCTGTTCGCGGCGATCAATCAAACGAATTACCTCATCTTCGCCCAAGGCGAAAGATTGAGGGCATTGGAAGACGATCGAAGACCCCTGAGGAGGCACCGAAGGCCCCAGACTCCACCTCCTCGAGTAACGGAAGTACATCTCCCGTCCCCCCCGCGGAGACAATACAAAGATGCCTCCCGAAGCCCCTCCCCCGACCCTCGGTGAAACGACCCCCTTTGGAGAGGCAACCCATCATCGAAGCCGGGGGACGCGGCCATGCCCCCCCACGACAAGAAAGAAGACACTCCAGAGACGGGCATGGAAGAATCAACCAACGAGTACCACGCTCGAGAGACGCCCAACACGACCAGGACCGTCGCGCTCGACAATATTACAGGTCCCCATCCCTCTCCCCGGAGCGAAGCGACGAGGACGACTCCCGCGGTCCCTTGTCACAAGCAATCATGGAGGCGCCCATTCCCCCGGGCATGGAGAAGCCTCCACATCTGAAGGAATACGACGGAGTCGCAGACCCGGTCGACCACATAGACGGGTTCGAGGCTATGCTGCATTATCACAACGTCGAGGGACCCATCAAATGTCGGTTGTTCCCCACGACCCTTAGAAAAGCAGCAATGGACTGGTATAAGGGCCTCGCTCCGGGATCAATCACCTCGTGGCGAAACCTAAAGAACCAATTCATAAGTTCTTTCACTGCGTCTCGGCGACACCCAAAGACCGAGGTAGCTCTCGAGGCTATCATCCAGAGACAGGATGAAACCTTAAGAGAGTTTATCAATCGCTTCAACCGCGAAGCTATACGGGTCCCCTGTGCGGACCACATGAAAAGATATTTGCTGGAGAGAGGGCTCCTCGGCACAGAATTTAGAAAGACAGTGGGCATCGAGCCACCTAGAATATTCAATGCCCTCCTCGAGAAGGCCTGAGCGTATATGGATTACGAGGAGAGGGAGGCGACTAACAGAGCCCGAGACCCCAAGACTCGCGGATCCAGCAACAACCCGCGCCAGGAAGCTCCTCCTCCTCGACGAACCGGGGAGAAAAGAAAAGAGGACAGACCCCGGGAAGTCCGAGAGCAAAAAGGACCCTCGGGGTGTTTTACCGAATACACTTCGCTCACAGCTTCTCGCGAGCGCATTTTGGCGGAGTGTGCCAACACGGACTTTAAAGACGGGGGCGTCAAACGCCCCCGACCTGCTCCCGCCAAGCCCGAAGCAGACAAGAGCAAGTATTGTCAGTACCATAGGAGCCATGGTCATCTGACTGAAGATTGCGTCCACCTCAAGGACGCCATCGAAACCCTAATCAAGGGAGGAAGGCTCGCACAATACCGGCGAAACGACGCTCCTCGTCGCGACGCCTGGGAAGCAAGAGAACTGGAGGAAGACGCTCAACCATCTGACGAGTCGGTCCCCGTCTAAACCGCCTTCTCCGTCACCAGACCCGAGGACTTCAACATCCCCGAGCACCTGCAGGAGCCGCCTACAACACACAGCAGGTGGGAATATTTCCCCTCAGCCATGGTCATCAATGGCGGAGGATTCAATGACCTGACTATCAATTCGGCTAAAAGGAAGCTGGATGAACTGGTCGGCGCGACACCTCCGCAAACAGTGACATTTGAGAGGGTAAAAGGTAGGTCGGAGCCCATCACTTTCTACCTGGAAGAGCTCCTCGGGGGAGCCCCCAACGCAGTCATCCCCTTGCTGATAAGGGTAAGAATGGCCAACTTCGATGTGCATCGCATCCTCGTCGACGAAGGATGTTCCGTCGACGTAATGTACAGCCAATTGTTCTGAACTCTGCAGC